GCCGCTTCACCTCCTTTGTGCTGGGCGGGGCTCCTGCTCTGGGCGGCGATGGCTGCCAGATGGACCTGCTGCTGGCAGAGGTGGCATGCGTACCAACAGAGAGGGCTCTGAGTGCCGCCTCTGCCACGCGTGCCATAGGTTCGCCACCACTGGCCTAGGACATGGCAGCCAGACAGCGGGGACAAGACTCCGCCCTTGTGCCCTGACACGTACAGATGATGCTGCAGGGTGCGGGCAGAGGGTGTGGCTGCCATGGCGCTGCTGGGCTGCCTGGGCAATCTGCGGCGGGCCATGGAGGTGGTGGGTGGCCAGCCGGGTGAAACGGATGGGTGGGGGGCCGGGCAGGGGCGGGGCAGAGTGGTGGCAGGGCGGGGTGGGGGTGGGGTGCTGGCAGGGCGGTTTTTGGACACTCGGTCTCTAAAAGGTTCATCATCACTGGTCTAGATTTTTGCAACCTCTTCCATTCTAGAATACATGGTACCAAGTACCTCCAGACATGAGAGAGACTGCCAGCTCCATTGTCACCCCACATGGTGAGCCATTGAACAGCTGATCGGTGTACCGGCTACAGATAGTCCTCCAATTATAGCCATTTGTTTAGTGACCAAACTTACAACAGCCCTGAGAAAAGTGACTTAGGACATATAGGGTTTCCTGCCTGAGCATGGGGTTGGACTAGAAGACCTCCAAGGTGCCTTCCAACTCTGTTAAGTCTGCTTTCCTCTTTCTGTAGGGTAGTTTTTCACACTGATGACAGTTGCAGCATACCCGCGGTTACGTGATCAAAATTCAGACATCTTGGCAACTGACTCCTATTGATGACGTTTGCAGTGTCCCAGGGTCATGTTATTATCACCTTTTGCGACCATCAAGTCAATGGGGAGGCCAGATTTACTTAACAACCGTGTTACTAACTTAACTGCAGTGATTCATTTATCCGACCGAACACAGGTAAGGAGTCATATTAGATCCTACCTTGTGGCGATGAGGGTGGCGAGGTCCAATTACTACTCCACCCTCATTGCGTCATCAGATAATCGCCCAGCCTCCCTCTTCAGGGTGACCCGCTCCCTTCTCCAATTGGGGGGGGGGGAGGACCACCTGGCGGGGAAGGCTGAGGAGTTTGCACAGTAT